CAAAAAAAAAAGACACCTTAAGCATATCTGGAGTCTCAGGATCAGAAGCTGCTGGAAAGGAAGAGCGGGAAGACAGGAGAAAGGGGCTAATCAGGGTGAGGGGAAGGGATGGAAGGGAAATGAAGCAGTCTGCCCTGGGGAAATGCAAGTTTACCTCTTTCTCTGAGGTAAGGTGAAGGAAGGAGAGAGTGTGGCCCATTTGGAGGTGGAAGGGAGCGAAGATAAAAGAGAAAGCCAGGAAGAAGAAGGTGACACAAGTGTTAACTGCTATGTGGCCCTGGGTGAGGGGTTTACATATACTGTCCCCTTAATCCTCAGATTATCCTCTATGACAGGCATTATCAGTCCCATTTTGAAGATGAGCAAACTGAGGCTCAGCAAAGGTTAAGTAATTTGCTCAAGGTCACATAGCTACAAAGTAGTTGAGTCAGGACTGAACCAAGTCTGAAAGTATTCTTTCCATGACACCACATTGTATCCATCCAGGGCATTCGTTAGCACGGCATCAGTTACAAAAGGGCTCCCTCAGGGTTAAGTGGAAGGATCCCAACTTTTCCATGATGAAAATGGCGCAATGGCAAGGAGAAAGAAGGATTCAATTAGAGACTGAAAAAAAAAACAGAGAATACCTGGACAGGCCTCAGTGGAACCTGGGATGGCATCTGGATGAAGGTCAGTAAAAGGAATAGTGAGCACTTCAGGGAGCCCAGTGGAATGCAGTTGACTTTTATGTCAAGGAGAGACTAGATGCCTACTATCCAGAGCCGGGCTCTCCAATCCTATGTGAAGCAGGTGGCGCTAGAAGGCCTGGCTGACACCGGATGACACAAAGTTGCAGAGGGTCCCAGTGTGGTCCTGTGATCCACACAGGCTGTGGTTAACAGGCTGGGTGCGATTATAGAGACAACACACGGTAGGGACTCCACAGGAGTGGCCCCTTTCCGACTTCCTGAGGGAGAGGTATTCCTGCCATCTCCTCACTTCCTCACCGGGGCCATTGTAGCCTGAAATTTCCTTTACCTGGCTTTTTTCCCCCTGCCAGTTCCTGAGCTCAGAGTTTGCTTTCTCACCACCCTCAGCATGGACTTCGTTATCATTTCCCGGCTCTGTCCTGGTCCTAATCTCCTGTCAAGACTCCTAGCAACTCTTTTAGATGTTGGGTCCTGGGGGTTCAGGCCTCCAGCTTCAAATTCTCGTGAAGCTTTCAGCTTCCCTTGGGTTATTAGTGCACGCTGAAGCAATGAAAGTCCCGAAACAACCCTCACACGTTGTCAGAGATGCTTCTGACTTCATAAATCTTAAAACATTTCAGGTTTTTTTTCCCCAATGAAATAAAGAGTCTCAGCTAGAGAATGTGGGGAGGGAGCGTGCACACACACACACACACACACACACCTCACATCAACTGAAAGTCTGCAGAGTTTTATATCAATTTTGAAGGCTTTGAGCATAATTGGATTAAAAGACATAAACAACTGACTTTGCAGGCCCCTAATCTGTACCTGAGGCATACGGATTGATGATGGAGATTTAGTTAACTTACTGTCTTGCATCAATAAAATAAATAGGGCCATTAAAAACATGCATTTTTATATATACATCTTTATCGCCGTTATTCTGAATAGACTGTGTGCCAAAAATGTGCTATGAATTTTCGAAACGTGACAAACCTGGCAGTGTGTTACAAATAGTTATAGTATTATTACCATACGTTCTGGTATGTAGTTTCTGGGAGTAGTTTCTGAAGTTTGACACGGGCTGGTTGTGGTTTGAGGTTAGTGGTTTTTGATTTAGAAATTCCCATCCACCACGTGGCAGAGCATTGCAGCTGACAAGAACAAAATTAGTTTGCAAAATGGAAAATGAACTCTCACAGCTGTCTGTAGGAGACCTAGCCTCCTGGTCTCCATTTCTCCAGCGGATGTTGGGGAGCAGCTGCGAGGAGGGGTGTGGGGGCTTGGATGTGAAGTCACTCGGCGGAGTAAATTCCCCTCTTTCCTCAGGGAAACCATTCCAGGGGTCATGCTTTAGAAAACCCTCCTCCCCTCGTGGGTTTTTGCTTTTGACTCGTGGATCTGGTTTTCAGTCAACTCATTACCAGGCTCTATTATTAATAATATCTGTGAATTTATGAGAAGGCATGGCAGTCGTGAGCAGTTTACTACCAGAATATCCCTATTTAGTTTTAAGTCATCTCTCAAGTACATTAGAGCACTCTTCAATAGCAGCTTCATTTGGCATCCCAGGGTTTGGCCTCTTGATTCTTGTTAACCGTCTCCAGCTGTACGGCAC